ACACACACACACACCAACACACACACCAAGACACACACACACACACACACCAACACACACACACACACACACACACACACACACACACACACACACACACACACACACACACACACACACACACACACACACACACACACACACACACTGACTGATTCGGCCAAGAGAGTGAGAAGAGGAGAGTATGTTGTATGTTTCTCTAATCTTGGCACAGGGGCCTTCTAATCGGCTGGCACAGGGGCCCCAGCTCAATTTTGTGCAGGTACACAGGACTGATCAGGTCCCGCTTCCCACTTGCATCCACAGCTTCGTTGAGTGTGGTAGGACGCAAGTGCCACACTCCCCTGCAATCGTGAAGGAGTGACCCTCTGCTCCCATGTGCTAGGGAGGTTCACACACACACAGCCCCACCTTGGGGCGGCTGTGTGCAGTGAAATAAAGCCACGCCAGGGCTCCCAGACCTAAACGAACCAAAACTAAACCACAAAGCCCTGTGGGCTGCAATGCCCGCTTGCAAATCTTGTCGATGTGGTCCGGGATGTTGTGGTAGTCCAAGATGTAGTGAGGCGTTAAAGTTAGGGTTTTGGACTGTCCTTCAGCTGGGCACGCAAGCCCCCAGAAGCGACAGAGGGGAAGGAAGGCTAATCAGCTGCCCTTGCAAGGGCCCAGATCCAGCCGGGGACTGTTCCTCAGCTGGGCGCGACGGCCCCCAAAGGCAACAGTAAGGAGGGTTGAAGGAAAGACTGCTACCCAGCTACCCTCGAAGGGGTCCAGGGCTAGCAGCTTCTGACCAATGTATTGCACATGTGTTTGTATGTTGTAATTAGGGGGAGAGATTAGGGTGAGGACACTCCTTCCAGCTGTCACCGAAGACCCAGGAACGGAGTGACTACTGCCCAGCTACCCGAGCAGGGTCCAAGGCCAGTAGCAGGATTAGGGAACATCCACCCTCCAGCTGTGTAGCAAAAGACACCCAGGAGCGGCGGACCATCCTCCAGCTGTGCAGAAAAGCACCCAGGAGCAATGGAATGAGAGGTACCACGTCCTGCGTGGTCCTCAACTTAGGGTGTGGGGTTAGGGGGAGAGAAAAGCGAGAGGCCGAGTACTCTCCGAAGAGAGCGCTGTTTCACTTGCACTAGCCGTCGATTACTGCAACTGCACTCATGTCGGATGCACATGCCCTTGCATTCCCTGAGAAATAAAGAAGCGGTCGACTACGGGACAGACTAGGGAGGTAGCACCTGCACACTAGACGCACTTACCGCATTAGCCGTCCATTACCGCACCTGCACTCATGTCAGATGCACATGCGAGCATCAGAGAGAGAGAGATAAAGTAGCATCGGGAGAATCTGAACGATCTGAACGAAGGCTGAACACCCGGTTCATCACCGGTCTCCCCGGAGGGTCACCACGGCGCCATGACGGAAAGCCGTTGCTCTGGAGTCTCAACGACCCACGCTAGTCACACTGACTGATTCGGCCAAGAGAGTGAGAAGAGGAGAGTATGTTGTTTGTTTCTCTAATCTTGGCACAGGGGCCTTCTAATCGGGCTGGCACAGGGGCCCCAGCTCAATTTTGTGCAGGTACACAGGACTGATCAGGTCCCGCTTCCCACTTGCATCCACAGCTTCGTTGAGTGTGGTAGGACGCAAGTGCCACACTCCCCTGCAATCGTGAAGGAGTGACCCTCTGCTCCATGTGCTAGGGAGGTTCACACACACACCACACACACACACACACACACACACCACACACACACACACACACACAGACACAGAAACACAGACAGACACAGACACAGACACAGACACAGACACAGAAACACAGACACCAGACACAGACAACAGGACCACAGACACAGCCACAGCACACACAGACAGACACAGACACAGACCACAGACACGACACAGACACAGGGACACAGACACAGACACAGACAACAGACACAGACACACGACACAGACACCAGAGCACAGACACAGACACAGACACAGAACACACACAGAACACACAGACACAGAGAGACACAGAGAGACACAGAGAGACACAGAGACACACAGACACACACAGACACACAGACACACAGACACACAGACACACAGACACAGACAGACACAGGACACAGACACAGACACAGACACACACACACACACACACACACACAGACACAGACACACAGACACACAGACACAGACACAGACACAGACACAGACACAGACACAGACACAGACACAGACACAGACAGACACAGACACAGACACAGACACAGACACACAGACACAGACACAGACACAGACACAGACACAGACACAGACACAGACACAGACACAGACACAGACACAGACACAGACACAGACACAGCACAGGACACAGACACAGACACAGACACAGACACAGACAGACCAGACACAGACACAGACACAGACCACAGACACAGACACAGACACAGACACAGACACAGACACAGACACAGACACAGACACAGACACAGACACAGACACAGACACAGACACAGACACAGACACAGGACACAGACACAGACACAGACACAGACACAGACACAGACACAGACACAGACACAGACACAGACACAGACACAGACACAGACACAGACACAGACACAGACACAGACACAGACACAGACACAGACACAGACACAGACACAGACACAGACACAGACACAGACACAGACACAGACACAGACACACACACACACACACAGACACAGACACACACACACACACAGCACACACACAGACACACACACAGAGACACACACACACACAGACACACACACACAGACACACACACACACACACACAGACACACACACACACAGACACACACACGACACACACAGACAGACACACACACACACACACACACACACACACACACACACAGACACACACACACACACGCACAAAATGCCGTGGCGTCTCAACAAAACCCCACATACTTCCTAGCTGGCCCATAGGAAATTCAGCGTTCTTTTGCCAATGCTTGTGCCATGGCGGACTAAGTGGGCGGATGGAGCTTTCGGCCCATGGAGGCCAAGAGAATCCCGGTGTGGAAGATACGATCAAGTCTAGCTGCCAACAAGCAAGATCAGATATTTGTCATTCGGTTGTTGGAACCACGATTTCGATATCACAAGCTGAGTATTGTTTGTGCGTTCAGCTGCATGGCGAAGTTTTTGAGCCCGAGTCGCTGTGAGGTAGACGAAGAAGCTCTGGAGGCTGTGCCTGCACTGCGGGACCTTGGGGGGCCCTTTGATGCATTCTGTGGCCTTCAAACATCCGCTTCGGCCCGCACATAGCCTTAAATGGCACGACGTCGAAGGCACAGCTGCTTCGTCTTTGCAGTTGTGGAGATACCGCGGCCGCAGCACTGCTTCTGGGCAGAACATGCCGACGTGTCATATCCAAGCTTACCTGCACTGGCTTGCAGGCTTCTCCGCGCGGTGCCGGCCGATGTTCTGCCGGCCGCCCTTGAGCTTCGTGACCAAGACAAGCGGACACCTTTACTTGCAGCTGGTGCTGCAGGTCAGGCTTTTGTGGTTGCTAGAAGGTAAGGTGTTCGACGTTCCAGACCTTGCAAGCAGCAGTGATCTGTCGTTTAGTTTTGACCTTGTGCCATCGCTTTTGAGCAACTGGTGTTGGAAATGCGCCTCAAGAGCGAGACAACAGATCGCAAGGAAGTCATGTGTGACGCGAACGAGAGGGGTGTTCGCACGTGAGGCTCGCTGGAACTGGTCCGGCTGCTGCTTGAAGCTGGCGCAGATGCAGAGGTCTGGTTGGTAGCTCTGATGTGACAGCGAGCTGGGTCTGGCTCTCCACCGAATGATGATTCGCCACCCCAGACTTTCAAAAGTTCGTCAAGAAACGAAGCACACTCGAAACATCCTGAGGTTTCAGGCATCTGCATAATGTGCGTAGCTCTTGCCAAAAACGACACGCAAACACCTGCATCGCAGAAGCTCAATCTTGCACCGTGTTTGAGCTGAGTTCGCAGGCATCCGACTCGGATGGCTGCGGCTTGGCACTTCTGGCTGCTTCCTCAGGACGGAAGTCTGAAGACCCTAGGCGTGCGGTTGCACCATGGAAGCAGAAGCGAGGAGATCCCGAGCTCCTCGCATGGCTGATTCATCAAGGTTGGAGCGCTGAGGGCCCTCACAGGTCCTTCAGAGTCTGTTCTCTGCCAGGCCTGGTCGACTTGACTGAAAGCGCACAGGATGGAAGTCAGCTCCTCGCTTTGTTAATTGACACAGCGTGTCGGCACTTGGAGACATACTCTCTCTGAACCTGCTGACAGCCCTGCAAGCTTTGCAAATGCAGTCCAGGCACTGCACTTCTTTGTGCTGCCAGTCACGAGGCTGTTGAGCACGCACTTAGAGACATGCCAGGAGTCAACGTGTCAAGTGAACGTACAGTATCGGCAGGGCTGTGTTTGTTGGTTTCGCCCTTGCAACGTGCCACATGGCCCATGAGAGAAGCGGATTTCCTCGTCAGGCAGGAGCTGTGGAGATGCTTCATTTTCTGCTCGATGGACCTCCAGGCCTCCAAATGACAGTTTTTTGACATGCAAGTTTCTTTTCGAACCGCTTCTATCAACACCTCGACGTGAGACAGTCCAGCCCTGAGTGCCGATGCTGTTGCTGCAGCTGCATGCTGCTGTCTGGCCCGTGCTCGAAGCACCTGCTGAGCGCCCTGCAAGTTTCCTCGATCCATCATGAAGCCGCATCCTCTGGAAATTCGGGATAACTCCGTTTTCAATGTGTGGAGGAGCCCTGGTCGTGCCGTCTTTGGAGGAGCACTCCAGAAGCACTTCATCACCCTGAGGTTTTGAGAGCATTGGCCCTTCGCAGGAGCAAGATGAGCGAGGCGCCAATGCGCTGCTAGTTGCAGCGGAGGCAGTTGCTCGGGTACTCGCAAATCCTTGTTCAGCTTGAGATGGTATCTCTGCATGCGTGAGGCAGGGGCGGTGCCTGCGGCGCGGGCGCTGTTGTCGCGGGGGGCGTCGCCGGAGAGTCGCGACGTACGTGGTTCTTGCGCGTTGCTTGGCTTTCGGGAAGAAATTCAAGTAGAGCCCATGCTTGTCTTGTCTGGTACCTTGGCAGGGGCATGCAGGGGCAACAGCAGCGTCTAAGTTGACATTTGCATGTGCACGGGTTCTTCTGGTCTTCAAGTTGCATTTTGTTTGCATGATCAGACCCAAACTGTCAAACCTACCGGCGTCTAGCAGGCTGCACTATGCAGCTGCTGGTGGATCCAGCAGCATGGTTGACTTTTGCGTCAAGTCGCTCCTTGGCATGAACTGAGATGTTGCAGGTTGTTATCTCGTGGACGGGTGTCGCCAGCCGCCAGTCCTGATGCAAGGTTGAAAATCCCTGTGGATGCCGAGGGCTGAGGGAACAGGTGGCTTTCGTCGTGACCCTCTCAGGGTCTCAGACAGGAGGCATTCCTTTCATGCTCAGCAGCATGTCACCCCGTCGGGATGTTTGTAGCTCTTCGAGCCAGTTCCTTTAGCACGTCCGCAAGTTGGTTCAAGGTCGTTGACAGCGATGGAGACACACCGCTCATGATTGCAGCGCACGAAGGCAATGTCGAGGTCCGAGAGGGTCAGAGCTTTGTACGGGCAGAAAGGCTAAAGGTCTCGCAATTCTTCTGGAACCTGTTAATTGGAAGGCTCGGCAGAGTATGGATATCGCGCAGAAGGTTCACTCACGGTCGTTGTTTGAGGGGGCACGTGGCGCGCCGGGGCAAACGTTTCGCGGGACACGGCTGCCACTGTGGTGTGGTGCATAAAGTTTGCGCTCAAGTCCCATCAGTACACAGGATCAGATGGAAACCACCTCGCGGAAATCCGCGTTCATTGTAAATTTCAGTGCATGTGCTACGTGTTGGTGGTTGAGGCAACGCATCCTCATGAATCCCGCCAGCATCAGGGGGAAAGTTTGCCGTGCTCTTGATTCCTCTTGAATTCACTGTTGGTCTTCTTGTGATCTCCTCGTCGTCCCGGTCCTGCTGGTTGCAGTGGTCTTCGGGCTGGTCCTGGTGTTCAGCAAAGCTGAAATAACCATGAATGCGTCTCCAAGCCTTGAAACATGCATTTTCGAGCCCTGGAAACCAGATTAAAGCGTTATCAACACGATTATCGGTTGGGTGCAGGACTTTCTGACGTTTGGCTCCTGTTCGCTCGTTCGGTGCACCAGGAGCACGGGTCTCGATCAGCCAACCATGATCGAAACCACCATCGGCAGTACATCTCAAGTCGTCCAGCTGAAAAAACTGTTTTGTCGCTTGACGAGTCACGCCATCGGCAGAAGCCGATGCAAAGCGATCCCTGTAAATCCGTTTTTTAAATTCCGGCTCCCAGTGTCAGCTCTGCTCAGTAGGCATCGATGCATCGATTCGTCCGTCGACATGCCCTGCGAGGTGGTTCGCTGGCTGCTGGCCGCAGGTGCTTCGCTCGAGCATCGCAATGCGGAAGGCCTCCCGCATCATGCCGCATTGTGTCGAGCTGGTCGCATTTCTTCTTGCAGTAGCGTCCTCGGATGTGGTCACAGCATGCAGCCGAACCATTGGAACATGACGGAAGCCGCCGTGTCTGCAGGAATGTCGCCATTGATGGCCGCAGCTGCCGGGGAGCAAAGTGAGGTGCTGCGCTTTAAAGCACGTACCCTTCTTCGATTGTACTGGAGCTTGAGCTCCAGCGACCGCAAAGGTGTTGTCGTTGATATCACAAGTCGGCGGAGAGGCGACGACTCGGAAAGCAGTCTTCAGAAGTCGAAGGTTTCTTGGGTAAGTGTCAGGCAGGGTGCAGGGTGAAGGGACGTGAGGGTGCAGGACTGCCCGTGGTGCTCGACGTTCTGTGTCAGCTCTTCGACAAGTCCCACGGGTAAGTTAAGTGATTGCAACTTTGCCAGCTAAGTGCTTGCCCCTCCCCTGGAGTATTCTCGATGTTTGAAACATCTCGACTGCGTGTAGCTTGCACATTGGTACTTCCTGACTTTTGCCAGGCAGTTGCCAACTTGTGGCTTCGGGACGTGCAGCATCATCCACAGCTCTTGTTTCTCGGTCTCTGTTTCCCAGGCCATCAATCTTTGCTCACTCCTGCACGGTAGAAAGCAACAGAACGACAACTCCAGATTTGCATCGGCGCAGACCGAGGCTAAATTTCTTGGAGAGCGGTCTCTGAGGCTGTTGCGATGCATGCCACAGGCAGAAAAAGAACGATGCCGAAGAGCTGTTCTGCACAGAGATTTGTTACAGCCGCACTGGAGAAAGCCAAGCGCAGATCATTTCGTGCATTGTTTGTAGCTCTCTCAAGTCATCCTGACTGGGGGACTGGGTTCTAGACCTCACCGGTACAATGCAGGCTTGTAGCTCAGCTCAGTGCTTCCGACGATGTGAAGAAAACATTTGGGCATTGGCAACCTTCTCTGCATGAAGCCTCAATCGAGGTTATTAGCACGATGATCCTTGTTCCGCTGGCGGTGCGGATCTTGGCGTCGTGTATGGAAGGGTGTATCCACCTTAAGATAAAAGTGACTAGCCGAGCCATCCTTGCTGCAGGCTTTTCTTTTTGCTTCAGTAGAAGCCGGACAGGCCAGGAGAGTTCGACGTTTGCCTTGCTGCAGCTGTGCGACGTCACGATGTTAACTCACACGAAGCAGTGCAGAGATCCAGTAGCTGGGGAGCTGGGGCGTGTCAGAGCTCATGCAGAAAGCGGAAAATGCTTTGTTCTAGACTGCCCAGATTGGAGCATTTGCTTTGGATTAGGCATCGCCAGTCGTCGCACAGCTTGCCGCGGAGGGGGCTCAGGCGCTGAAACCTCAGAAGGTATGGAGATGAGGTGGTCTCACGACACTGAAATCAACGATGTCAAACAGACAAGTGGCAGAGGTCCGATGCCCACCTCAACACCGTGGCTGGAGCATTGACGGATCTGCTGAAGAGCAGCCAGAACTCTCAGATATGGTGTTTGCGGCATCAACTCAGATGGCGGTGTACTCTGCCCCAATCAATGACCCAGCGGATCGTTCCAGTCGTCGGAGGTGACAAGAGCGCTGCCAGCTCTTTGTCCAGCATCGCGCAGGCCACGCCACACAGCCACGTTAGCCACGCTCTGCTCTCTGGCACTTGTGGCGAGCCGATGCGTTCAGGTGTCGAACACCTCGGCCATTGTGGACACCATCAAAGACTTGTTGAACGCAACCATGAAAGGAACGATCGCAGAGCAACGGAGCAGTTTATCAGTAGCTCAATAATCGCCTTCTTGAACACATTCATACCCAAGCTTTCAGGACGGCTTTTCACGGCGCACAAGAACAGCGCGCGGCCGAGTACAGCGTGAACTCCGCTTCGACTGCTCGGCGACCCATCCCCGACTGCTCGCTCTTTGCAAGGCCTGGCAGCGATTGCTGACTCCAAGAAGCTCTTTACCGACTGCCGCGAGACGTATCAGGTTCCGGGCAAATTGCCTCACCAGATAAATTCTGTTGATCCTTTCGTCTGAACGGACGTGTAGGTGATGGCTCTCAATGTACGAAGTGCCATGAGAAGATGTCAACGAACCAATCCTCGGCGGTCAGGCTGCTGATCATGTTCGCTTTCCTCCAACATCTCTCTTGCAGACAGTCAACGCGACCCCGTGGTACGAGGCAGCATGTGGGACCCATGTCAGAGCCTGATACACGTCCGGAGTTGCTGCAGGAGTTCTTCCAGGCCTACTCCCAGTGCAAACAATGGGAGGCACAGATTGGAAAGGACATGACACTCGGCTGGGAGGCAATATACGGCCAGTTTGAACTTGGAACAAACATAAAGCAAAGAGCTGCGCAGACACGGTTCTAAATCCTCTGCTCCTGAGACTATACTGTCGCGACCGGGATTAAGGACTGCTTGTGACTACCACTGCACCTCGGAGGCAGGATGTCTTCCCTCTCAGCAAACAAGTGTTGCGTAAAGGGGACCTTGCTTCAAGGGTGTGGCACCTGCATCAGAGATTACTGTTTTTCCTCCGTCAGTGGTTTGGGGCTTGCGGGTTCAATTTCGTGACTTGTTCCGGCAATCTGTGCTCCTAGAGCTTGCGAACTTCTCCGAAGCTCTCTCAGATGCCAGACACTGTAGGAATGTAGGATCCCTGGTCTGTTTTGTTTTCTAACCGCGGCGACTTGAGGTCGGACAGCCATTATGAAGTGCATGTCGTGTACACATCGTGGGTCACCCAAACTGCGGTGTTACCAGCTCCGATTCAAGCTGTCCCAATTTCGACGTTGCCATGTCTGTCGTGTTAACGAAAAGCATAAACTGGTTCAGCGACCACGCACTATGTCGGATTGTGCAGCAGCAACGTTTTACTGGCATGAAGGTCAAGGTCGTCGGGGAGGATTGCACCTTTCTTGGTGATCAGTGCGGTCCTCTCGACTGCCATCTCCTCAGCATCTGTGGCCGGTGCCGAGTCCATATCTAAACCTGGCACCAGCCATGGCACACGTGATGCACGCGAAGCTTTCGTTGAAGCTTTAAGCATTTTTCACAAGTCTCAGGGTTCCAGAACTCTCAGATCAGTTGCTCAGCCGGTTGATGTTACCCTTTCGTGGAGCCTCCTTCACTCTCTCAAGCCTTGAACCCTCCTGGAACCTCAAAAGTTTACACCGTCTAACAATACTCAGTACTCTCGGCACAGGAGGAAAAGCACGCAGCTGCAATCATCAACCTGTTTTTAACTTCAAGATGCATGAAGACGAACATGTCAGGTGCGCCGGTCACCGGCGAAGGTTACAAGTCTTTCCTTGAACGAATGATCAAGGACGTCATGTTCTGGCATTCTGACGATTGATGATGGGTCTGAGATGATATAGTGCATCCTTGTAAGAAAGACGACCTATTTAGATGAGTCTCTGGCCTTCGATCAGGAGCACGAACCGCAGTCCGGATTCTTTCGCATGTCAGCCGTCACTCCGCCCGGTGCAGGACATCAAGGCACACCTCGACTTCTTGGTGTGGGTACTGCTCTCAGACAGGAAATCAAGGAGTTTTCTTAATCCTCAACTCATCTTCTGCTGGGCCGAGGAGCGCTACAACGAGACCCATGGATGCAACGATATCTGGGGAACTGCAGAGCGCTGCTTCAAGAACTGCGACGGCCATGTCATGGAAATTCAAGATCTGGTGCCGTGACTGTGCTTGGCTGCTGCGTCATTCCAGACATCCACCGGACAGGCTGGAATTTTACAGTTCACTAGTGCCAGCTCAGGTGCCGCACAAGTCCACCGACATTCCAGGACCCGTGGAACCACCCAAAAGCATGAAA